TGATTGAAATGTCCGAAAATGATGCCAAAATACACCTTAAAAGGCCCGTTTTATTTTTTTCTAAATCCCATCCCGAATTTACGGCAGAATCTGGTCCCTCAAATAAGGGACATGTGAGCTTTGATTCTAACCGGATATATAGCACTGGGTCGGGAGATACACACTTTTACGTATCTTTTGTACTTCGATCATTCGCAAGTTTTGCTAGGTGGTGCGAGACAGCTTCGTTCGTAACCGGATGAACTCCGTGAAATGAAACAACTGACAATGCTAAAATAAATTGCAGAGGTACCCTACAATTAATTGAAAACAAGCAAATAATTTCCATGAAAAATAAATCACAGAGAGAGGTAACTTGATACATAACAACTCTTTTGACCTACATGTATTAGTTTTGTGCTGGCCCTTCTCCATGTCTGATGTTTTGTTTTCCTTGTCATAATACTTACTGATTGATGACTTTGTTTTGATTTTGATATTTTTAGTCTACAACTCGGACACGACCTTTGCTTTTACCGTGAAAAATGGGGAAGTTTACGTCAATTTGACGACGGACAATCCATTTTTTCAAAACTAACGAAACACACTATCTAGCATCCCGATTTTTTCATTTGCTGATTTCTATTCAGAAAAATTCGACCGCTCGAAAATGCACTCAAAAACATGTCAGATTTCCAAAACCAATTATTTAAAAACGCGTTGAAATTTTAGAATTTTTACGGTATGTGCTGGAGCTCTCTTCTTGCAGGCGACCGTTGCCTGTAGTATAACAGCATGTTTTGTACGTGTATCCGTGCGCTGATTGTCCGAGACTGTCTTAGAAAATCCCTGAATAGGGCGTACCAAAATCGAAAAAAATAAAAACAATAAAAAATTGCCTCCTTAAAAACGAACAGAATTCAAATATTTCTTTTAACAAATATGTTGCAGTGAGAAAAATCGATTGGAAACGCTGAACAAAACTTCTGTGCCTCGCGTTTCAATTCTAGGATTACGCGATTATTCATTACTGTGCGTTCGCTTCCTGGAGTTGGTTCTCAATACTACATAAAAATCATTGAGGATAAATAATTTAATATCTCACTTTGTACTCTTCACGGTAAACCATAGGCTCTGAAATACTCGTAGATTTT